GGGGAGACATCAATCAAAACGCATTCTAGTTATAAACCGATATAACTCCTTTGTACAACTATTTGATAATTTAAAATATATATTGCACTGTGATTAAATTCAAGAGTCTTCACTACTTCAACCATCACTAAAACTCTTCATAACCAGGTGAAAACATTTTAAAAGTTCAAGACCATTTCTATATCCTGGGATAGTTATTAGAAACCAACAAAAGCAAACTAACATTTGCTTCAATGAAATTTTGAAAATCCTTCAAGTAAACTTTTATTGTATTTTTATTAGTTAAGTCTAACTGCATATATTAAGCTTGAATGCATAGGGAGTTTATACTTTAATGATTTGTTTCTTTGAAATGCTTTAAGAGCATCGTTCATTTGTTTAGGTTATTCTTTACTATATAAGTATGCTGTAAAAATAAAAATTATAGATGGAAATCTGAATATCTTTTACTCGAGCATATATATTTGGAAAACAATGTTAGAAATTATAATTTTGTCACATCTTAATAATAGCAAGAATAATATTTTTTAAATATCAGAGCTCAACTTAAAAGAGATAAATCATAATGGATTTTAAGAAAGGATGCAAACCTCCTAGGACCAGAATGTCTAGGATTAGAGAGGACGGGTGAATGACAGATGACAGACAGACGGACACTTTTTGAATTTGTGTCTAACAATCTACCAGGGGTTGGAGACCAAAGATGAACAGACCTTGCTCACAGTCCTAGGTGTAGGCAGAGATGCGGCAGGAGAGGCTGGGGGCAGACAGGTGAAGAAATGATTGCTGTATGATGTAGAGTTGATAATCACAGAGGTGTGTGCAGCCACACAGGACTGCTAGGGCCAAAATAAACGAGGGAATTTTAAGCTGAATTTTGCATTCAAAGTGTGTGAATCTTGGGTTACTGTGCCCTGGGGACTGAGAGGACTGTGAAGTCTCTAGCTGGTGGTCTCTTCTGTGGTCTTTAGAAAGCAGTCTAAACTGGGATTCGGAGGACTGAATTATTACACCCAGATCTAATAATGGGCCTCAGACCATTTCTTTCCTCCACATTCTTTTCCTCCATATTTTAAAGAATAACTGCTAGGTAACTCTTTTGTGCAACTACTTAAAGATGATTTAAAAATATGTAATAAAAAATGTTATCTGAAAAAACGACATCGAACAAAGACTGGGACACGGCTCAAGGGTGTGCGCCTGCTTTGCAGTGCTCGATACCACTAAATACAAAACGACAGTTAATTATCCTTCATCAAATGGTTTGGAAACATTTTGAAAAACACGAAGGTGCTGAAAGCTTTTGTCTGGATGACGACATGCAACACTGGGCTGTGTGTGGCCAGCATCCACCACCACCACACATCAGCCACAGCACTAAAAATACTTGATTTCTTAGAATTGCGTAGCGCATTTCTTCTTAAGCTTTCTTCTCTGTCTTTGAAGGATAGGCTGGGGCATGCTTTATTACTCAAGACATATGGAAGAATGAGGAAACAAGAATCCAAAGGAAAAGGCCCAGTGAGACTTGAAATCCATCCATCCCTTGCCATCAGACCATTCTGCACAAACACAGTACACAGAGCACCGCTATGAGAGGAGCCTTCTAGCAACTCTTCTAACAGACACCCAGGGCAGATTCAACTGAACCGGTCAACAGGAAGATTCATCCTTTCCAGTACTCAATTCAGCCAGAAGTCATGCCTTTAAATTTTAAAAGAACAGCTGGGCATGATGGGGTCCCTAGTATGACTCCAGTTACTCATAAGGCTGGGATCTGAGAACTGTGGTTCAGAGCCAGCCTGGGAAGGCCTCTGAGAAACTTGTCTTCAATTAACCAGTGAAAAGACAGGACTGGAGGGTGGCTCCAGTGGCAGAGTCCCAGCCGAGCCAGAATATGAGACCCAGAGTTTGAGTCTCAGAGCAGGTGTGTGTGTGTGTGTGTGTGTGTGTGTGTGTGTGTGTGTGTGTGTGTGTGTGTGTGTGTGTGTGTGTGCGCGCGCTTACACCCTCATACCCCAGGCTCTAGCTTCCCTCCAAAGGTCTCTGCTCCAGTTGTTCTAGGTAAAATTCCTTGCTCTCTCTACCGCAGAAATTCCTCTGGCCCTAATCTCAGATCAAAGGCCACTCATCCCTCACTCATTTAGGCTTGCAGGGAAGAACCCAGGCCCCTCCCCTAAAACACTACTTGAATGGGAATCTAAGCCACTTCCTGGTCTCTGCTCCGCTATCTGTAAGCGAGAGGTTGTGGAAGTGCCACTAACATTACTTGCCATGACAGAGTTTTTAAAGCTTAGCAGCGGGTGCTACGGTTTGGATGAATGAACTGCATGAATCCCAAAGGTTTAGTGTGGAGGTCTGGATCCCAGGCAGCTGCTGCTGGGAGACCACGGAACCTTTAGGAGGTGGTCTGGGGAGAGGTGCTTAGGAGTGGGTCTCCCGGGTGAACTTGGGCCAGGCACAGTGGTGCTCCTTTCAGACCCCAGTATCCAGGAAGCTGAAGCAGGAGGACCCACCGGTCTACACAGTGAGCGTGACGCCAGCCTGGCCTACACATCAAAACCCTGAAAGAAAACCACAAAAAGGGGGATGGTCATTTCATTCTGCTTCCTGGCTTTTGAGAGAAGCAGTTTGCTCTACTCCATGATCCTGCGGAACACCCTACCCTGACCAGAGACCCCAGGGATGGAATGCCAGCTCTCCTGCAAAACCATAAGCCAAATAATTCATTTTTTCGTAAGTTAATTCTGTTGGGCTATCTGTTGTTGTGGCATGAAGCGGGCATATACAGAAAACTAGTCCCTAGTTGGCCTATTTTCTACATTCCCAAAGATGTGGAAGTGTTTGGAACTGCTTTATGGGAAGAATTTGAACCAGTATGGAGGAGTGGTTTAAAGAAATCTCAGCCTGTGAGTAGATCTTAATAGGCACTCTGGTGAGAGGGCTCAGAGGAAAAAATTCCAGTAGATGGCTAGGCCATGCTGACAGGGTTTCAGGTGGAACTGAAGGTGCTGCTGAAAACTGGAGTAGATGACATCATTGTACCTGGCAACGAATTCAGACAAGTTTACCTAACACAGGAGATTTCAGGAGAACAAAGCATTTGGTCTGTGACATGGATATTATTGGCTACATTTAGCCAGAAATTTATAGTAAGAGAAGCAAAAAGAAGCAGACTGAGAAGATCTGGAAAATTATCGGGCTGGCCAGGAAAACGGTGGGCAAGGAAGGTACAGAAATTAGAACCGAGAAGCAGCAGTCATCAGACAAAGAGGAGCAGAGCTGGAGGGCGCTGGGAATCAGCACCACCCCTGCCCGCTGCAGCTTCCAAGGTGCAGAAATGCAACTTGTTTCTAAGACTTTCTAGGGCAGAATGGTTTTGGAACATGTGCAACCAGGATCATGATGTCAGATCTGTCTGCCTGTGTCTGGCCAGCTGTCTGAGACACGGGTAGCCGTGGTTCAAGCAGGCCCCGGTACTGCTCACGGCAGCAGTGGACTTCAGCTTCACCCGAGAGGCATGCAGAACACAACAGCTCTGGGCGGCTTCCACAGTGCTCAACACCAGCCGCATACTCAGTTTATACAGTGCAGGGTTTCATTATATTGCCGGAGCTCATAGTACCCAAAGAAGCTAATAAAGTAGAACAATAGCTGACATGTCAGGTTTTTCAGTCAGATCAGTGGCTGACAGTTTGCCAAACTGTCTTTGCCTTTTTGCAAAAAGAAAGGCCAGGGTGTGCGCTGCGGATCTGGGGTCCTTTCAAATAGGCCCCTACGGGGCGATGTTGAGTTGAACGGTGGGAATGAAGGGGGAGTGGCAGTGGAGAACCTGGAAATGCGCAACTCGTGTGCACATGGGCGCTGCAGGCAGCATGCAGACTTGCCCAAGACAACAGTGATGGGGGCTGCAGTGAGGAAAGCCCGGGGTGGCCCCTGCCCTTCCACCGCAGAGGGCCCCGGAAGCCAGTCAGGAAGCTCGAGGACTGACGCTTTCCCTGTTCAGTCCAGCTTTGCTTGGGGCCCGTCCCTCCTTGCTGGTCCTCTGTTCCTCTTTTGAAATGGGGCTTTTGCCTTGTACCTGTCCCACCACTGTATCTCTGAATCTTGTGTTGTGATTTCTACAAGGGCTGACAGTAGAGACTGTCTTAGTCTTAGAGACTTTGGCATGGACCCATGTGTAGAGCTGATATAGGACTTTGCTACTCCTGATACCACTAATAAGCTGAGGGGTCGTTGGCTCTATTTGGACAGAGCATGCATGGGGAAATGCGATTTCCGTCGTGTGAGCAGCTCTGAGTTCTGAGGAGCAGATGCCTTCAGCTCCATGTGTCAGAGCTATGCTGGCGGTGCTGGCAGCTCAGCGCCTGACCATTGTGGTGACCCCTTGGCAGCCACCTCTAGGGTTCACAGAGGCCCTCGGGAAGCCGCTCTTCTGTGGTCTTTGGTCCTCACAGAGCCTGGTAGCTCTCAGGGCTTCAACTGCTAGGTGTACCTGCAGCTCACAGGCCCTGATGTAATCTGTTCTTTATGCCACCAGCTCAGCTCCCTCTGTGTGCAGGGTCACAAGGAGGCAATAAAACCTCCCAAGACAGGCTTCATTAGGGCTCTGCTGCACCAACACACAACAGCAAGTCTCCCCTTTGACCCACCGGCTCAGGACCATCTCCCGTCCGTGGAACATAATCTCTCTCCTCGGTCCCCGTCTGCCCAGGCATGCTGGGCCACCCATTCTGGACATCATGGGGGGGACAGTGCTCCTTTCTGGCTGTGGCGGGGACTTCTGCAGTTTGGGCTGTGGGGCAGGGTCGTCTGAAGCTATCACAGCTGGAGCAGAGCTTCCCACAGAGACCCTGGAGGACAGCTGGAGCTGTCTGGCTGTAATCATCTCCTAAAGCAGTCATGTAGCTGCTGGGTTCTGTAACAGACATAGAGATCTCCGCAGCAGCCAGGACAGTAGGATCTCCATGACCTGAGCTAAACGCTCCCCTTCAACCCAGAGCGGCAGTGGTCTCCGGAGCGGTGGTGGGCCACTCCATGGCTGAGCGGCCTCCTGGGCACCGGCGGGCCACTTACAACAGCAGTAGCCATGGCTGCCAGAACAACAGTCCTCAGATCCCAAGAGAGACAGCTAGTCAACTGACAGACAGTGATTTGATTGACAGTCCCCCCTGCTGGACGGTGCGGTTGAAGTGTTGGTTGGTTCTGTCTCTGAAGGAACTTCAGGAACAGTCATGGCAAAGTTTACATTTTTTGTTATGAATATGGGGGGGGCTGTGGATAGGTGGAGTTACACCTCTGGAAAACCTGCTGGAGAGGGTTTGGAACGCATCACACAATGTTAACTAGTACAGTACTTCTTCCTGCGACGTTTCCCACCTTTGCTGCCACCGTGGGCCCATCCAAACAGCGCTGCACTGAAGCACAGCTTCTAGCAGAACTGACTGGCGCTTCCGCTGCCCCAGGTACATGGCGATCTTTATGCCTGTGTCACCAAACACAGACCAGGTTAGGAGGCAAGGCTTTAGGAGAGAACAAAGACATCAGAGAACTCCTCACTGACAGGCACTGACTAAGTCCCAGGAATTATAAGAACACTAGCCATATAGTCAGAAGTGTTGAGACAGTACAGTGCTTTGTTATATTTTCATGAGCTCATAGGACTCAAAGAAACTAATACAGTGGGACAATAGCTGACATATCAGGTTTTTCAGTCATATTATCAGTTGTTGACAGTTTGCCAAACTGCTCTTGGCAGTGGCGCTGAATTCACATAACAAAAAAAGGAAAGGTATTAGAATAACCACTAGCTAGTTGGCTTTGAAGAGTCCCCATTATCTGAATGAAAGGTAAACTGGAGTGAAACTACAGAGCAGCCTGGCATGATTGTCAGGATTGTTCAATTTATTCTTTTGCTAAGGCAGACAAACAGTGGTGTGCAAAAGGTTCATGCTACTCCACGGAATTTGAGTTCTTATTTTACTTTGGCCCATGGTAGTGTATTATTTTCTGGAGCTGTCATAAGAAATTATCTACAGTGGGGTGGCTTCAAACAGTAGGGGTGTATTCTTTTACAGATCTGGAGGCTAGCAGTTCAACCTCAAGTTTCCAGCAGGTTTGGTTCCTTTTGGAGGACTCTAAGGGAGAATCTGTTCTGTGCAACTCTGCCAGCCAGCCCTGGCATTCCTCTGCCTCCATTTTCTCAAGCTCATCTTTTCTGTGTGTGTCTCCATCTCTACACAGTAGAGATATATCTGTATCCAAATTTCCTTCTTACAAGAAAATTAGTCATAGAATCCCAAGATACTTGAGAGACTGAGATCAGGGGACAGTGGTTTGAGGCCAGCCTAGGTAGAGAAAGTTCACAGAAGTCCATGTTGACCAACGGCTAGTTGTGGTGGCTCATGCTTGTCATCCTTCACCACGAGACTGGCACAGTGGTAGGCTACAGTGGCACCCACTTGTCATCCTAGGAACTCGGGGGACACAGCAGGAAGATTGTGGTCCAGGGCCCCTCAAGCATATAGTGAGGCCCTATCTCAAAAAGAGTTAAAGCAAAAGGCACTGGAAGAGTGACCTGAGTGGCAGAAAAACACCTGTCAGGGCAAGGCTCTAAATTTAAAGATTAGTACTGCCGTTAAATACACACACACACACACACACACACAATCATGTTAGATTTGGACACAACCTAATGACCTCAACCTAACCCAATTAGACCTACAAAGATCCTCTTTCCAAATAAGGTGAGATTCGGAAATGTCATGAGTTGAGACTTCAACATGCTAACTTAAGCAGTAATAGGTGTACATTTGTTATTGCAAAAGAGAATGTGGCATTTATCAAGTCCTGCCCATTGATGGAGCATCTTCAGTGCTTAGATAAGGAAGGCAAATATGCTTTACCTTTGGACTTGATTTTGGCTGAGATAATTCTCTTTCAGTAGCTTTTCACTCAACTTTCATTTTGAAGATTGCCTAGGTTTTAGAATAAATGTTATTTGTCTTGTTCTTAAATCTGTTAACTCTTCATGTGCAAACCATTAAAAAAAAAAGTAAAATTATGAAGGATCCCTCATTTGCCAGTGTTGCCAATGAAGTAGAAGGAAGAAAGAACAGGAGCCATCCAGAGGTTACTGAACTACCACCAGGGGCCTGTTCTATACAAAGAATTTCACCAGAAGAACAGAAAATGGGGACGTCTTCTTCAAGAAAGTCTGAAATAAGGCTATTCGAGGCTCCGTGTATCTCAGATCAGGAAGTCTGACTTAGAGCTATGAGCTTCCAAAACTACAAACAGAAGCTGCAAGGGGGAAGGCTTGCATCTCCAGGTGGGCAGATGACTCCCTTTCCACAATCCTTTAGAAAAGGACAAATAAAAAGAAAAATCTTTGCCATGGAGAGATTGAAAAGCATTTTCTGAGCTTGGCACTGGTGGCTCACGCCGGTAATCCTCGCTACTCAGAAGGCTGAGGTCTGAGGATTGTTTGGCAGACAGGAAAACCTGTAAGACTCTCCAAGTAATCAGAATCCAGCAGTGGAGCTGTGTGGCTCAAATGGTAAAACAGTAGCCTTGAATGAAAAGCTCAGGGACAGACCTCAGGAAAAGTCTAGCACTGGTACAAAAATGCACAAATGTTCTGTTTGAGTGTTTACTTAGATAAGGCTTAGCAACTATGACCCACATACCAAATGTAATTGCTACCTATTTAGTGAATAAGGTTTTATCTGAAGACAGCCATGCCTATATATTTTATTGTCTATGATGCTCCCAGCAGAGTTGAGTGCTTCCCATGAGGTTTAAAATATTTATTTTCTGGCCTTAACAGAAAAAGTTTGCTAGACCTTTATTTAGATGGCTTCATAAGAAACTGAAAACTAAAGAATGCCATAAAAGCCTATATAAAGGTATAAGGTGTACATAAGGGTTGCAGGGAGAAACTGTCAATGAATCGCTTGGCCTTGCTATTTCTTTGACAAACCTGTGAGCTTAGTGGTAAAAACTTGGCATTAGGACTTACAGGTAAAAAACAAGTTGGTTTCTAGTAATCATAAGAATGAGAATACTAAAAATTAGGACTGTTCAGAATTAGCTTCCTACACTGGGAGAAAAGAAGGAACTGAATCCCTACTAGATCTTTCTGGGGTTTTATTTGTTTTGGGAAGCTCTGGGGCTTGAACCCAAGGCCTCAAGCTCACTAGGCTAGTGATCAACTATTTGAGCCATGCCTCCAGCCTGGCCTTTTGCTAATTGAGGATGGATTCCAGTGGACTTTTCTGCTCAAGTTAGCTTTTCACTATGACCCCCCAGATCTAAGCCCCCTGAGTCTCTAGGATTACAGGCATGAGTAACCAGTGTTTGGCTGTACAGTAGAGCTTTCTAAGGCTTAAAAAAGCACACGTATTATCCTTGCTTATGATCATGTTTTGCTGTTGAGATGCACTTCATTCACTGTTTCCATTCTTTTAATATGTTTTTTCTCCTTTTCCTGGGTCATCAAACCATGGTAAGGCATACTTGAGTCTGAGCCCTAGACACATGCACTCTGGAAGAAAAAAACCCCTGCCACCTTGTCGCATGGTCCAGTCTCTCCAGGCTCCTGCGTGCTCTTCCTTCCCGGCTCTCTCACGGTGGTGGACCATTGTCTCAGCCCAGGCAGGGCCCACCTGGATGAATGCCGCAGTAGAAATGGCTGCCTGCCTTCCCATCAGACCACCTTCGCTTCCTAGGTCTGTAGAAAAGTGCCAGGCTGGATCTATCACCATCTGCTCTGACCTCATCCTTTCCCCTAAGGGCATGAATGTCCAATCTCTACCACTAAGCCACTGGGACATCTACATAATATGTTAACTAGTCTCTTTTTTTGCTGAGTCTATCTTTTCATAACGCTTTCTGCGTTTAACTCATCTTAGAACACCAGAATCCAAAGGTCTGTCGATCCTTCCTACCCCATGAGAATAAATAAGCCCTGAGAAGACTGTCTGACATATGCTCCAAATAAATGTCAGCCTTTCTTGTATCAAGATCTGAGTCAATGATTGTAGCTCCTTCAATGCTACGTGTGTTCACAGAAGTTCTGACATTGGGTATCTTAAGAGCAAAATTAATCTTCAGGTTGCTAAAACATTATTCGTGTATAGTATCTCTTTTGAGTAGCCCTAGATTCCAGTTTCAACTGGCAAAGAAAAGCTTCACAAATGTGCTATAAAGTAGAATAGAACAGGAAGGCAATAATAGCTGTCTTAATTATTGTTCTCACATTTATGGCACTGAAAGTTTTGTTGAGATATACATAATCCTGAAATAGTTACAATCTTTCCTTTCTGTCCTCCCATTCTAAATGTTTACTGTGTCATTGTAAGTATTTTAAATTTTTATATAGTCTCATAGTTAAGCCTTGAACATCAGTAGAGACTTTGAACTTGAACTTTTGAGCAATGCCAGTAGTGTATGGAGATTCTTGAACATGACTGAAAGAAATTTTGCATTATGAGATAAAAGACAAACCTTTGGGATCAAGGGGTAGAATGCTATGGTTGGAATACAAGCTCATATATTGGGTTTAGTCTTAAGCTGGCGGGCTCTTGGGACCTGGCTGAATTGTCAGAGCTCTGATCTAATCAACTAAGTAATTGCCTGGTGAATTTATAGTACAATGGCATTAATGGAAGAAAGTAGGAGGCAGGCTTGTGTGAGGAAGTGATCACTGAGACCATGCCCTGGAAAGATAAATCTTGTCTCCTTCCCCTCTTCCCTGTTACAAGCAATCAGCTTTACTCCAGCACCCGCTCCGTCAATGTCTGTAACCTCCTCTCAGACCACAGCGGTGGAATCTGCCAACCACAGAGCTAAGGCCTCTGGAATGCCATCCACTAAAACTCCCCTTTAAGAGTTGATTAGTCTCAGATATTTGTCATAGCAACCAAAGCCTGATAAAAATTCTTTGTATAACCTAGCATGCAGTAAGGAGTATTCTCCCTAAATACAAGTACAAACAGCTGCTGAAAGCGTATTCATCCAGCATACCGACTGCTCCCGCGACACGCTGCTCCACTGCCCCTGTCATGATGTCCAGGGTGTTTACTGCTTACTCCTGATCATCAACCCCTGCCACTGCATGCCCCTCACCTACACAGCCATCCCTGGGGAGCAGGGCTGCAACAAGGGGTGTAACAGAAATCAGCACGTTACGGTGCCAGTTCTCTGTACACAGCCAGATTGGAAACAAGTCTAGCTCAAAGATCACACAGGACAAACATGAATTATCTTCTTAATGTTACCCATCAAGTGTCTGTTCCAGAAGGAGCAATACAGGATGGGTGATACCTTGTGGTTGTGAGGGACTAGAACAAAAGCTGGACAGTTTCTGTGAAATTTCAGACAAGGAGCATGGCTCCAGGTATGAGATATCTGTGTCTTTTGTACCAGGCACCTGTTGGAACAGCTGGACCTGGAACTGGGCCCATCCCTTCCCAGACCTCCCAGGGCCATTTTGTTTAACCCAAAGCCCAGA